ATTCCTGAATTGCGCAAACTACTCAAGGGAGCCACCCGATACCGTTCATTAACTGCGCCAAATGGTGGCCCTCTTTGACTGTATAATTGAGTAGGTTTGGTTAAGTTAGGTTAGGTTAGGTTAGGTAAGTTTAGGTTAGGTTAGGTTTGGTTAGGTTAGGTTTTACAATGATAAGTAAACAAGGACATTCCTTCTGCCGGCAACTCACCCCTACCTGGCCTTGGGCTTGGCTCAACTAAGGAACTCTTTGGAGCAATTAGTGCACCACTCTTAAGAACCAGCTTATCTTATACAGTCAGTATCAAAACTGATCCTCACGTTCAACTGTATCATCTTGTATTTATATTCAGCTAAAATACGCATTGAGAGTTACTCTCTCAGAAGTGACGATTACACATCAATCGAGAACTCATAATTCACAATATTAATACAATTATACGATCATTTTATCACGTATCACCGTTTCTCACAACATTCAGACCAGACCTCGGGCTTGGTAACCTCGGTATCGAGTCTAGGACTCCTCATTACCAGAACAAAGGTGCGAGGTATGTCCAATAGTCCTGTCACATGTTCCAATTACGTAATGGCTGAGGAAGAGTCGCCATAATAGATAATAGACCGCGGTGTCTTCTCTGCATTCACTCCTATGAGCATAATAACTCATGCTCTTATAAATGACAGCCTCTTGTAGCAAGCGGTCCACGCTTATCTGTCTTCCTTTCTTCCTTTTGACGTGTTTTCATTTTTCAAGTAACTTTTGTTTTCAGCTTTGTTTATTGTGATTGCAATGTAATACATTGATAAAGTCTGCTTGTATTTTGTGAGACAAATTGTTTGGAAAATATTAGCAGTCTCTACTATGTTGATTAAATTATATTACAGAAAGTGTCTAATTGAAATGTTGCCTGATGGAAAGCAAACCTGTAGCAAAAGTATATTTTGCGACAATAAATACAACTATTTGTTGGGATGGAACTATAAGGAGAAATGTTTGTACAGTCCTTTTTGCTTTTGTGTTAACACCTCGTTGTCAAGTGTTTTATTTTGTTAACCTAACCGTCCCTGAGTCGGATTATGAACCGTGATTGACCAATATTGACGAATGCATTGGTTAAGTTAGGTTAGGTTAGGTTAGCTCATTATATGGACAAATGCACCGGCCTCATTGTTTCGTATTTTAAGAGTCATTACATTATGGCAAGACAATTTCCCTCCAAAAGTGTATGTCTGCGTGTATCTCCCACACTATGGCGGGAAGGTCTCGTGGTCGGTGGTCCGCTTGTCCGTCTGTCTCTATGATTCGCAGCAACATCCTTCATCTGCGCGGTGCCACACGGTCGTAGCCACCAGGTGACCGAGCTTGGCTGATGGAATGTCATTTTCAGCTTAAAATACGCAGCCGAGTGGTTATTGCTCGCCTTCAATTCTGAAGGTCGCTGGTTCGATTCCAAGACAGCTCGTTACTGGGCCCAGATGCCATTTGTGATTGTGCTATCAATTAATGGGACTATCTAGCAAATGGTTGATGTCAAATGGTAAAAAGACCAGGGTTTTGACAGTATACTTTCAAAACGTTTAAAAATGCCAGTGACGTGGATGATAAAAACACTTACAAAATAAAATACTTATGTCGGGGCCATTATGCTCAGGCGTTTTGTCAAGTGTTTTCTAAACTTCGATTTCAAGTATATAGATTTAATTTCGTATTGACGCATTCCAAACGATTTTGATTTTATCAGATTGTAATATTACGCTAAACATGTTTGATGAACTAGTATATCCTACAACTAACACAATAAATGTTCAACAAATGTACAAAAAATGTTTTTGCTGAGATATTTCATTCTAAGAGTTAATAACATGTCAGATCGGGCTTATCACTGATTTGTATCCATTATAACACGTCATACAATCCTGATTAAAGTATTCACTAATAGTAAAACATATAATATGTAAACACAGTTATAAACTTTAAAGAAAATATACAGCACGAAAACCATCTTGCCTGTCACAATCAACAATGGTTGACGTTTCGTTGTCCATCACCGGCCTTCCCCAAGTGCAAAAAAGTAATCCGCAATCGCATCTGCGCAGCTATGCCGGTGTTAATAGTGTTAATTAAGGGACACTAAGCCGGCTCCTATTGTGGACATTCCAGTAGTGGGACTAGTTCTGTCCGAGATCCTTCTTCTGCCGTCGTCGATTTCATTATTTTCGTTCAACTGTCATAATACCACCCGGCTGTCTACGAACTTCGGGAATCTATTATACCTCTCTTTGTCGGTATCAAAATCCCAATCACGTGGTCTCCGTTTGTCCCAGCTGATGAAGGATTTTCTAGACGTATCTACTGTAGTTTTACAGATCACTATCTCAGCCAATAAGCAGGGAGATTCTCGTAAGCGTTTTTGATAAAGTAACTAGTCGGTGTTTTATGAGTGGGATATGGGGTTAGGTTAGCAATACAAAATTTGTTTTCAGTGTTTGGTCTTTTTTACCTGCTCATTTGATTGAGAACTGTTCTAGAATATTAGCCTTAATAAACAGATTTAAATTTATTTTTTAAATATTTTATTTTTTGGCTTCTCAATGTGTTTTGGTTGAACATAAATATAGATTTGGTAGATTGTTTGAATACAGTCCAGTAAAAAAAAAATAGTAATTCGTAAACAACTTACCTATAAGATACAGAAGTGTATCTCCTTGTGAAAAAGGATTGGAAAAAAAGCTACATTTCGAATGTTTTATGTAAAAAAATACAAATTCCTGTTAATCAGCCGACATTTGGTTGATTTAACAGATTCCGCTTTGAGATTATTCGATTTTCTGAAACCAATTTGAAATGTAATAAACTTAAGATCAATTTTACTGGCTCTTCACTTCCTTGACAACCCCCACGGCCTTCCTATTCCATTCCAACCGATTCAACAAGAATTATTGTCCAACGACTTATTCCAAAAATAAAAGTGTGTGCTCCAAGTAGTCTAATCGATGAGCTAACTACGGCGCGTTCACTTACTCATTGCGTCTTGCCGATTTATCCACAAGATTTGCATCGCGGATCGTGGTTACGTCGCTTGCGTCGGACACTCCCATATGTTATGGGGCGTGGGACATCAATCCCCATACGATAGCATCGTTGACGAATTGAATGACATAAGTTTTGGTTGTGCGCGCCCAGAGCGAGAGAGAGAGGGCAAATGAAATTCGAGTGTATCATTTATCTTTGCCTGCTCCAATATTCCGGACGGTTGAGCAGATTGAAATTGTATTGAAAATTTTAGTGCGTGAATTGTAAACAAGGTACCTATTTATAATAGTTAGTTTTAAGACGTAGCATTGGTTTAATGGAGAGGTCTAAAATAACATATTAAAAGTAATTAGTGATGTACAGTTTCACCTCTTCCATGATTACTGAACCCTCTTTAAATAAGCATCATTGAACGTAGGAAGACCAAAAACTATTTATCAAGACAATTTTCATATTTGTCTGCACTTTAAACCCTTTCTCAAAGGAGATATTTTTGCAAATATCATAAAAAAAATTAGTATCAATGGAATGGGACGAATTATTTCTGAATTATGTGGCGGTTGATGCATTACTATTACCAATTGTTTGTTTAACTTTTATTCTAGCGTTATTATCCAATTTACAAATGCAAGTGGTAGACTTTGGAGATGAAAATTGTACCTAATAAAATATAAGTCCTTAAAAGAAACAAAACGTGAGAGGGATACATAATTCTGAGGATTGATACTATAGGACGGTTTCACCTTACCTCTATCTGTTAGCTTTACCTCTTACGAGTTTACATAAAACTCAGCTTTTGGCATACGAGTATTCGTAAGCTCAACATTCAGCTTTAAGTATACGTCCTCGCCGGCGTATCTACGCCCTAGCCGGCGTATCTACGCCCTAGCCGGCGTATCTACGCCCTAGCCGGCGTATCTACGTCCTCGCCGGCGTCTCTAGCACGTAGTTGCTTTCCGAACGTCATATCAGTCACATTAGCATATAAAGTATGACAAACATACTTCAATGCCACCTTTTAGCGTCAACTTACATAAACGTTCCCACAGTTCGCTGCAAAGCACCGGGTTTACAGTGGAAACGCGCGGTGTACGGATTACCACGGAAGACTCTCGCTATAATGTGCAAAAATTACGGTCAATTCTAGGATTAAGACTAAGCCGGGGAGTGCGCATTTATCAGCGCTTTTACCGGTTAATCGCTGCTGACAACCGGCTGAAATTATCTCGAAGCTGAGTATTCCCGAGTTGTTTATACTTTAAGTTATCCTGATACGTTTCGCGATGATGCAATGTAATTGGTCAAGGTTGTACGGTTGTAAATAAATCGTCGAAACATTATTCGTAGGTTTAGATGTTGTTGGAGATTTTGATGTTTATTATGAATAGTCTCAGTTGTAGGGTGGTTGTTACAGTTTTAGTGTATTGCACTCGTATTCTAATATACTGTTCTATATAAGTAATGTTAATTAATAATTTTCTAGCTCCCAAGACGCTTAACACGTAGCCTACAACAATTACTTCCCTTGTGAACAAGCATCGCGGGTTTTTGACACAAATTAAAGTTTAAATTGTTAAAATTATTCGAAATCAGAAACGTAACGAAACTAGTTTTATCAATATTAAGGGGAATAAATATTCAACGCACAAAAAAATATAAATAAATAAGGAACACAAACCATGTGATCTTTTTTTATCAATTATATAACAGATTTTTAGCCTGGATCACATAGGTTTGAGACCTCTCAACACTTGAATGCATCAATATAATTCTTTTACCAAGGCGATCATTAGGCCCAAAGGTTCTTGCAGTTAACAATGAACCTAATACTTTACCTACCAGGTGAATCTGCTCAGGTCATATGACAGTCGGTAGTGAACGTAGTCTATTAATTGAGCTATTTCTGAAAAGATATGTTTGATAATCAAATTTTTTTAAACTTTTACAACTAGATATTCTGTTCCAGGTGACCGACACGAATGACAACCCTCCGGTGTTCACGGAACAGACATACTCCTTCGACGTGTCCGAGAACTCCAGCCGAGGGTCGCGGGTGGGCCGTGTGGAGGCGCACGACGAGGACCAGGGAGTCAACGGGATGGTCACATACACCGTCATCTCCGACTGGGCTAACGACGTGTTCTCTCTCAACCCCCAGAGCGGAGTGTTCACCCTGACAGCCAGACTCGACTATGAAGAGGTCAGTGAAGTAAAGATTTGTATTTATGCCAAACATTTGTATATCTTTGAATGTTAGTCTAACTAGGCCTTCAGAAGCAATTAAACTTCAGTATACTTATTACTCCACAGTTGTCAAGATGTTTCCAAAAGCATGCGTAGTAAGTAGGCCTACTCCCTGCGCAGACCCAATAACTCCACATGGTAGCGCCGCTAGTTCCCGCAACGCTACTGTGGTTTTACACGTCCGTTTAATCACGTCGGGCGGAATGTGTCAAAACCCCTCTGACAGTTTTCTTATTAAAAGTAATTATGCTCCGACCAGATTTGAGATTTGAGGCAATCCTAGTACAGTTAGACGACAGGCGGGCTGCTTATTTGTTTGGATGAAATTCCAAATCGGACTCGGACGCGTGAGGTTTTATACTGATGAAAGTCTGGACTCAACCCTGCTGGCTGCTGACATGTGCTATTATACGTATCCGTGGGTCAAGGACCCCATAGTGACGTGCGTTGGGGATACGTTTCTTACACAGTTCGTCTTGTGTGTTATAGATTCTCGGGTGTATAAAGAAGTAATGTTTTAAACAGTCAAGAATCAATGATTAGTGTTTTCTGCCATATTATTCTCCACACAAGAAACCTCTGATATTGATGATGACATTCCCACTACCTAATTAAGTGGAATGATGTACCAATTGACCTAACCTTACTTGAAGAGACACACGTTTATTGTGTACACCCATTTACTGAATTATAAAGTCAGGAATAAAATGATTGTCGATCCAGACGTCATTGGGCCATGAATTAATGATGCAATCCAAATAAGGACATTGACTAACAGACAGAAACAAAGGTTTTTGGACTATTCTAGTCAAAATTTATCAAGCCAAAAAAAACTATTTACTACATTATAATAAAAAAAGATTGATGTATAACAAATACTAAAGTTAGGTTAGACGTATGGACGTTTATAACACCATAACGACTACTCAACATTATATAACATTTGGTACAAGAATTAACTACAATACAGATATTCTTCGGGAAGTTTCACAGCAAGACCTTTCATTCAAGTATGCAATTGATATGTGTGCGGCTTATGATTTTCCAAAAGATTCCAAAAGTTCAAACCCATCCTAGCTTTATATATAGATTTGGTGCAAGAATTAAGTATTGTACATATAGACCGTAATTTGACAACCTACTACATAGATTCATAATGCATCAATCAAAAAGTATTCTAGGTTTTCCAACAATACAATTTTCTTGTTCATCTACGATTACTAATAACATTAGTTTTCCTATTCAGAAAAGCTAATTTGATTTCCGAACACGATTTCCACCATCGTTCTGTCATTCTCAGCAGATGACTAGCAGCTAGCAGACACAACGCGAACTATCTTCCGTAATTGGCTATCCATCTCAATTAACAGGTCAGCGATGAGAGGATAAGAATGTGGCGGTGCCTTATACCTTGTTAGACTGGACGTATCCGCCATCCGCCATCCGCTATCCGCTATCCGCTATCCGCCATCATAGACAACCGCAGAATCGGAATCAGCCCCTGATGGATTCTGCCTCGACAAACAATACAATTTACGATACAACTCATTATAAGAATTTGAGTTTTAAATTCTAATCAGCATGAATATTTTACGCGATCGGGATCCAAAGAATCCCACCGGCCGGAGGCGTGTCCCGTTAAAGGTTTTGGTTATTCCCATCGTTTCGACATTTTTGTCATAGCCGATTTATTTTCCAGTTTGCTAGATTCACTAGGTTCGAGCTGGTTTATTAGTGGTTTGGTTATTGTTCGTGGATCTAGCAGTGTTAAACAATTAATTGATCGCTTCAGTGTTTATGGATGGAACGGTGTAAACAGATTTTGGCCGAGAAAACCAAAGTTTTACCTAAAACAGTAGAGCCCTTTACGTTCTTTTACCTACAATTTGCCCCTGAGACACAACTAATTAGCCCTAACTCACTTGGTTGTCCTAAAACACTAAAATTATGGTTTTGAAACAATTAATTTAGTCGTTAGACCAAATTTTCCTCATTCCAGATAATCCTAATTATAGTTGTGTATTTAACAGTTATACTGTAAAATTAAAGTATCGTGGTCCTGATTTTCATTTGTAGAATTATTACACATTCTTCATTCCTAACTCAACAGTTGACGTCATCAATTAATATTTTAACACCACCATTACCATCTATAGTATATATTAATAGGCAAGCATTATTCTTTAAAACATTTTTCTCAGCTTGTGTGCATCGCAGGGAAGTGCGAAGCATACTGTTAGAAATATATTTTACTGTAGATGTGCAGAATCCCTTTATAAATTAAAACAGGGAATTTAAAATAAAAAAATTTAACATGGGCCTTATGGGTTGCCATACTGGTGACAAAATAACAACGAAATATAAACAGAAAATCAAAACAAATGGAAGAAATTTCGATCACATGTTTTATTTACAGCGTGGGGTGAAAATAGAGAAGTCTGTACATGAAATATTTTTGGTCGGGTTTTCGACCAATGGACGACCTCTAGTATTATTTCATATAACAAATACAAAGTCATACAAGTGGTTCGATTTTCTTGTGCATAAACTTCCACAACAACTTTCAACCCTATAGAGGTATAGGGATCTGACTGTTGCCAGTCTTCTCAGCTGTTCATGCCTCGTCAGTTCTGTGTACTGGGTACTCTAGGCCTACAGTTTCGCAACTAGTGACTAGTGCCCGGTTTGCCCACAATATCTATCTTATCTGCAGGACTATCACGCCTGCAGTTGCTGCCGTTGCTCCAGTTATCGTGCAGTTTAACTAAGCAGTTTAGTGCTCCACTGAGAATGTACCTTGTACTGTACAGGATCTCTTAGGACTTTCCCCTGTAACACTCCGAGACGCAACCGCCCTCAGACCGTGTTAACACTCTGTCCATACATTTCTCGGCTAATGTAGGCCTACACCTTGATGTAATATTTTGAAAATTGAAAAAAATAATTTATTAGTCACTGTCCAATGCATTATTGCAGGAAAATAAAATGTAGAAGGTTGTTGACTCGAACCCGAGAATTGTTGGAAACTGGACAGCTTCGTAAAATTACAGCTTAAGATAATATACCCGATCTTAGAATATACACAAAGCTGCAAATCGCATCTCACTACTCCTATTCGCACTCATCTTCATTCGTATTTTGGTATACACATCTGTTAAATCTTATACAAACGATAAAGTTAAGTTAGGTAGTTCAAGTACATTATTTTGTAGTAGTTATACGTTTCAAGGTAAAAATACTTTGAAATATAAAATCTAATTGTTTTAATTTTGTGTATTTTCTAGCTACTTTAAGCCTATCACTTTGATTGACGAAGTAATGTAATCACATACATTTTTCACCACTAACAGTTTACAACTAACACGGCAAAAGAAGGAAAGGTATCGCTGGACTGAAACCTCTGCGTTTTTTCCGTCTCATAAATATCCAACAATACGACAGTGACGAAAGCAAACAAGTTGCCATAGCAACACGGGCGTAGCTACTAGACGGTATAGACTATGGACACCAGTACACCAGAACACCAGTACAGGTGATATATGAGGAGAGGCGGACATCGAATATGTATGACTGGACTCTCGACGGCTAACCAGTGAAAAGCAGTCGATATAATTGGGAATCGTGGATGTCTACTTGATGTAACATTCATTATGGGAAGAAGGAATCGGTTCTCCAGGAATATTCAGACAGACGCGTGAGATGAAAAGATTTTTTCGTCATACTGCAGCAAAAACAATAGTTTTTAATGCATGCGTTGCCGGTCTAAATTAGCAATTTTACTCTCTAGGGAGAAATAATCAATTTTAGTCCCTAGTAAAAATCAGCTGTTATATACAGTTGTAAATTTCGATTGTGGCAATCGTATCGATCGAAATTATTAATCGATTAATTTATTATGTAAGGTTTTAGCATATTGTTGTCGATCGCTCAACATATCGAGGATATAATGCACTGTATCACAATCGTAATAAACGAAATGGAATCACTTGCTCATCAGCTGCTTCTTTGCATTTGCAGGATTGAATAAAATGTGGGAGTCGTTATCTTTACATAATTTTTTTTTTCTTTTTCTAGCTTAGTTTGTTTGTTTGTTTCAATGATGCAATGTGACGAAAAATATAGTTAACCACACGCGCAAAAAGTTTCTTTTTTACCCTCGCTCATTTTCCGAGGCTTCGCCTAGATCGTAAAACTTGACCTCGGGTCAAATAAAGTCACTTTAGGCCCTAGTGATGAAATATAATATAATTGTCTCGAGGTATTATGCGAGTTTTTAATGTTTTGCCCAGGTTTGAACGGCTATGTGTATACATTTACTATACTTTACTTTCGCCCCTAAATCGAAGCCAATCAAAATAGTAAGTCTCTATTATGCAATTATTTTATTTGCTTATAGGCAATTGAATATCGTTACTTTGTCGCTACGTCATCTCAAGCGTCTCAACTGTAAGACCGTTTATAACGCGATACGACAGGACCACTGTTCGTTAGTGTCACCTACATTCTTGTAAGGGAAATGACTAATGTTGTTTCCCTCAGGTACAAATGAGCGGGTACTGGCTACCGTACACCCTGCGCGGAGGTATTTAAATTATCGAATTAAAGTGGTTCAACAAGAATTCCCGATCGTTAGACCTCCCGTGAAAATAAATCGGGAGCGATACTATCCGATGTCTAAATAAATTACAAACATAAATCGAGGAGCAGCTGAGCGCAGACGTTAGGCCCCGCATTGCGCGTTTGGTCTGTGAAATGTTTTTGCTCCGTAAAAAGAGGACAACATAATTTATAATTTTGTAGGAGCCAATTTGGAAGAGAACGCTCTTACATTCTTCCGCTCTGCGATGTAAAAACGAGCCGTGGAAAACGGATGCTTTTTATCCGTCGGTTATAATCTCGGGCGTTAATTGAATGAGATAATTGCAGTGGAGAGTTTACTTGGGTGGCTGTAGTTTT